CCATCCCCCGAACATGACACACCCTCATTTTGACCGCAGTGAACCGAAAGATAGCGAGGGAGACCCTCGAAAGGATGGAAGACCTGGTCGGGAAAATGAGGAAATTCCATCATTCCATGAGAAATTGAAAGATATATGTGAGGAGGTCAACCGGGACAAAGGGGAGATCCTAGGGTTAGCACATCCTTCTGGTATGGCATTCAGGCCGCCTCCTGGTCAGGGGATGGCACCTTTGGGGGTACGAACAAGAGGTGAAGGGGCACCTAGCTCGAGCCAGGGACCACCAGAGGTCCTGAACCTAGTGGAGAAAAGGGGGCTATAGCGGTCCTCGAGGACGATGATGAGGATGAAAAGCTGGGGTGAGAGGAGGACAAGCGAGCGGAGCAGAGGGTGAAGACGATAGGTGCCAGGGCAGGCGCAGATCCGGCTCAGAAGGGTGGAGCACAGAAAGAAAAGAAGTATACCATTTGGCTGGAAGAAAGGTTCGGATGTGTTGTGTTTGGGGGAAAACAGTAAACAGTAGCGCACGCCACACGGAGACCGAAGTGTCGCATGCCATCTCTCTCCCTCTCCTTCCCTCTCCCTCTCTCTCTCCCTCTCTCTCTCCCTCTCTCTCTCCCTCTCTCTCTCCCTCTCTCTCTCACCCCACACTACCGTCATCCCCCGAACATGGCACACTGGCATTTGGTTGCACGGGACCGGAAAGATAGCTTGTATAAATTCGTTATCAGGAGAGAGAGAGAGAGAGAGAGAGAGAGAGAGAGAGAGAGAGAGAGAGAGAGAGAGAGCTGTGAGTGCAGACGGCAGCATCCTGAACCATCGCACTAACTTCCTCCGAACACAATGCACCCAGATGAGGAATGTATACAAGCTATCTTTCCGGTGCGGTACAGCGATAATGAGGGGGCACTGTGTTCGGGGCTTCCAGGGCTTTCCCCCGAACACAACGCACCCTCAATGAATGCATAGAGCTGTCTTTCCGGTCCGGTAGAGCCATTATGAGGATGCATTGGCACATACTTTTTCAATGTGGGCAGCGCGTTTTCACATGCGCTGCCCGCCCCACTTTTGAACCCGGTAGCGCCTGACACAAGTTTTTTCGAGGTCCACAAGCCATGTCCCTCTGAACCCCCACCAAGCCTAAGCACTGTAGACTCAGCCCTGGTACCTGTCCACGCATTGAATCTACAGAGCAGGGGCCGACGGAATAGTGGTTTTATGGACCCAGGCCATTTGCTTTAATCCCTATCTCCTCTGAGAGCAAAACTCCAAGCTCAGCTTGAATGAAATACCAAGTTTCGGAAAATGATGAAGGCAGAAAGTGAACAATAAAGTCATCCCAGAACGGCACAGGTGCCCCTTACGTGGGCATCTGTTTACCCCACAGATCCCTCACCTAAGGTAGAGTAATGCAACCCATACAACCAATTGGCAGGGCAGCGACAAAGCCACGGCACAGAGCAATCAATACTGAGTGTGCAAGCACCACACATGGATGCAGCAATATCAAACACGTCGCTCTGCAAAGTGTTATATGGAACTCACTGATAAGTCGTCACAGCTACTCGTTAAGGCTTCCAAAACTGCACCAGCACCCTCATCTGCCAAACCTGCCAAAAGAAAACAGATTTTTTAATACCTCAAAGGCCACTCATGTTAACATATGTTCCGCCCAATATGTCCTAGGAGAGAAGGAATTTATAAATCGACAGCATACACACTTTTGACCACCAATTCACCCAAGGCTAAGTCGGCCTCTTACCAGTGCAAGTGGAAAGAGAGGTATGCTTCAGCCTCCCAGACCCAAAGGGGTTACCCAGGGGGTGTGCAAAAGTTTGTACCCCCAACTTTGGATATTCTTAACTCTTATTTCCTGCGTTGAAAATTCCGAAAAAAAAAGGGATTTCTTATTTCCTGCGTTGAAAATTCTGAAAAAAAAGGGATGTTGCTTAAGGTTACTCCGCATCTTGGGGGAGAAAAGTAAAAACAAACAAAAATCGTTTGGCCCATGAAAAACTATCCGCGCCCAACCGAATGCATATTTCGGTCCAGCTTGGTGTGATCCCATAGTGACGTTTCCATCTGGGCAGGCCCGGGGGGTCGGTTCGAACTCCGAACAAATAGGCTCGGCTGAACTGGTGATTTATACCCTGTGGCATACAATGTCTGTGTAAGTGTGCACCTAAGTGTGGGCATGTGCTCGGGTATGTCGTGTAGAAGACAAGAGGCAAACACAGAGTACAAAGCAAGGGCCCAACTGCAAGTCTAAAAACAGCTCTCGTCTGTCGCAATCCCTTAAAAGTCGGAAATAATGAAAATGAAAAAATGGCTGGACTTCCCGTAAAGCTTTCAAGTGCTACTGGAAATGAAGTGGACCAAGTCTTCAGATCCCCACTGGATACAGCGATCACCCAGGACTCCTCATTTATAAAATCACAGTGAAAAACGCGCTGCGAAAGAGACAGGACAACCGACGTTATTCAGCTCAGACGGCAGTCTGGCACACACAGTAAATGGAAAGAACAAGGGAAAACGAAGTAGATCTTGCGCGACAAAGGACAACCGCCGTTATTCAGTTCAGAGTCTTCAGACGGCAGTGTGGCACACAGAGTAAATGGAAAGAACAAGGGAAAACGAAGTAGATCTTGCGCTAAGAAAGACAAAGGACAGAGCGGCTACGCAGCTGGGATAGCACTCTGGCACACACAGTAGCAGGAAACAACAAGGGAAAACGCGGTAGATGTTCTGCCTGTCACTTCAGACTTATCGTCAGTACCCTGTACGGGCCTGTAGCAATCCAGCTCCCTTCTGCATTAAAATTTCGGTAGGATTTTCCAATGTGATTTAATGTTTGCCCTCGTCTTTCTTCAGGCACCATAGCAAACAGAAAACTTTGAACACCTCCCAGCTGTCAATCTGCCCCGAAATTTCCAGAGCCCATCCGATGTACAACATCCTGACCGAGTCCGGCTCAAAGCGTCGGCAGGTTTTGCAGGGCTTGATGAGCAGCATTTGAGCTTCCACAACCACTTTGTTCACTCGTTCCCGGTAGGATGATATGTCACTCCTTTGCAGGCCAAAACTGGAAACTCCCCAAGAGAATTCAGCCCGTTCTCTCTCTCTCTCTCTCTCTCTCTCTCTCTCTCTCTCTCCTGTCTCTTATACACATCTAGATGTGTATAAGAGACAGGAACATTGTTCATCACGAGTTCAATTATTGATAA